CAAATAATAATAATCATAATAATGATGAGGAACCAAGGCGGTGACGGGAGCCTGTCGGTGCAGGATACGTCCTTCTTTCCGGCTGCCGATCTCCCTCGACGTCATGCAAGTCGCCGGTGAGCCTGTGCACCGGCGTCACCTAATGAGCGCGCGTCCATCCTAGCGCTGGCTCGAATCGGGGCAACACCACGTGTTCCGCCACGATGCAGCCCTTCAACACCACGGACCTCGTTCCCACCTCACCCTCCAGCGCCTCATCGGCCTCTGGGCCCAGCCCGGCCATCCGCGCCCCACCCCGCCCGCTCCCTCATCTCCGATCTCCGATCCTCTCCGCCGCCGCCGACCCCTCCCCCGGCCCTCAGGAAGCTTCGCCGCCTTCCCTCGACCGACGGAGGCGCGACGAGCTCGACAAGAGACTCAGCTCGTCGAACGGCGACCTCCGCCAGCTCATGCACCTCGACTCCTCGTCGACAACCCGCCGGCCGCGAGATCCTCGAGACGGAGCCCTCGAACTGGTCTCGAGCGATCTCGGCCAGGGCGAAAAGATCATGGCCTCCGCCCTGAGCCTCCGCCTCGACGAACCATGCCGTCCCTGGTCCGAGTTCCTGCAGGGTAGGCGCGGGCCCCCGAGCGCAGGCGAACGCGGCGGCCGCCGTCGACTCCCCTCTCGCGATGAACCGGGGTCGTGCCCGGCCCCCCCCCCCCGCCCGATCGCTCCCCCGAGTATTACAGGCCCACGCTTCGTGCCCGTCGACAGTCCAGTTCCCCCGCCCTCTCCCGCCCGACCCCACCTCTGTGTACATCCAGGGTCCCCACGTGCCACCCACAGACTCCTCGTGCCCCTCCACAGACGTCCTCCGCCCTCGACTCGCTTGCGCACACACTCCCCCAACCAGCTCTCCCGCACCCTTATCCCCCCCGCACCACCCCTTGCACTGGCCTGCCTCGCGCTGCCGCATACCTTCTCCCCGGTGCTCCTCTCTTCTAGTCCCGCCGACAAGCCGACGCCTACACAACCCCTCAACACGATCCCACCACCCTGCACTCTTCGCTTCGACCTCCAATCCCAGCCATGTCGGATCCGGCCGTCTGCCTCCAGCATGTATCCCCGGTCCTTGGGCGTCCGCTCGTCCCGCCCGTGCGCACCCCGCGCATATCTCCGTCGGCTCCCGAGGTGCATTCCCCGCGTAGCCCGTGCCGCACTTGCACGGGTCACCTAGCCACGTGGCCGTAATAGCAAGCCTGATCGTAGCGAGGCGCGCGCGTCGGATGCCAGGCGTAATGGCCGTGGAGGCACGGCGATAATGGCGGTACCGGCCTGCCGCGCGGCTGCCGGCACGATTACTTGTGGCACTCGAGCGTCCATGATTGAACGCGTTCTGCGAGCGGGAGGGAACCTCGGCACGTGCCCGGCCGGCCGGCCCCCGGTCCGACTCTCCCTCCGCTCGCTGCCATGTCAGCACGTAAGCCACCCTTTCACCGTGACACCGCGACGGCGGGATCACGCGATGTCCAGGGTGCTCTCCAGACGCGCCCAACCGGCTCCGGCTGTACTGACCCTGAGATCAGCTCGCGTGACTGCCTCATTGATTTGCCAACGGCAGCTCACACCATGCTCAGCCGGCCCACCTCGTGTAGACAGGGCGCCCATGCTGTACGTGTGCCGGACCTGCTTGCGGCATGCTTCCCCTCCTCAGAATCACCCGCGTACGGGACAAAAGTTGGCTGTATTGTCCGGTTATGATACAAGAACTACCGAATATCCATTGCGCTTTTCTGAGAACTATGTGGAGGGGCATTTTACGTAAATTTTGCGTCCCTGCGTGCGTCTTTTTGTAGACCGAGAGCATTTTCCGCTCATCACCACTTGTTTAGGCACATATGGATATTACCTCACAATATGACACACCACGCCGCGCTAGCAACTATTTAACCCACGCCCACAGCAGGCCCTCAAATGCCTGGCGGGCCGCGGCGTCCGACACTACTACCACCCAACCATTTGAAGCGCGCGCACGTGCGAGCGGTATAAGTGCGCGACCATAAACACTAAACACTAACGCGCGAAATGATTCCAATGTGTTCAACCCCGATACTACAACGCTCCACCAGACAGCCGCCCATGCCGTCTTGGATTACGAGCTCGTCTCGTGTGATTTTCTTTTTGCGTCACGCTTGGGCATGCAAAGCTAAATTCAAGAAATCATAATGATCTATATAGTTTTTGAACTTTTACTACGAATCATTTCGTCCGTAGAGATTAATTTTTATTTAGCCGTCCTCACGTTTGGAAGACATCAAATAGACCCATATTTGAAGAAAGAAAGGGGGTAAAAAAAAAATCAAAGTCAATTGAAATAGCCCCATATTGGGCGGGGGGAATTCAAAATAAACTTAAAATAATGAATATTAGAATTTTTTAATAATTTTTTAAATTATAGGTATTTTTTACATATTGTAACTTGTTTGTAGACTATTTATAATTCCTATTTTTTAATTTACTAATGAGTTTGAAATTCTAAGTGTTTTTTTTTTAAATTTAAATTTTAAGTGTTTATTTATAATTTTTAAAACTTTAAGAGTGTTTTTTATAAATTATAAATTATGTAGGGGATATTTATAACTCTTATATTTTTAATGTATTGTTAGGTTGGAAATTATTATGATTTTTATAAATTTTATAATTTTGAGGATTTTATTTTACAATTTGTAAAAAGTTTAGAGTGTTTATTATAAATTGCATAGTTTTTGAGTTGTTGTTTGTATTATTTGTAGGTTTTAATGTGTTTTTTACAAATTTTAAATTTTAGGGGTGTTTTTTACATTTTTTAAAACTTGCAAGATACTTTCTCCAAAGACAAAAACTTTGAGGGGGTGTTTTTATAATTTAAAAAACATTAAGGATATTTTTCTATAAAGTCCAAAAACTTTCAGGTGATGGCTAGTATATGTTTTTCAGATTTCTCTGCGAATTGAAATAAGTAAAGAATTTGAATTATACTAAACATATATTCTTTATCCAATAACATGTTAAGTCTCATTATGAATAGTATAAATCATTTAATTATCAATTCAAAGAAGATAGGATAATTAGAATAGATTATAATAATAATGTAATATTTTAAAAAAAATTAAGAGTAATACTGACCATGAAAAGATTTTCCCGAACTTGTATTTTAAAGGAAGTATATGATTTACAAGCGATTATTCCCCAATTAGCACAAATTCCTTATTAGCAAAAAAAAAGGAGGGGGGAGAGGGAGATTAGAGAAGAGACAGGGCGTAGCTGAACGTGTTCCCAACGACGTGCAGGCCGCGTGCTTTAGGAGTATTTAATGGGAACTGCACGAACTAATTCCTTATTAAATTTTGATTAATACTGATCTTTAATAATAATTTATAGGAAAAGTAGTCTTCGAATTTTTCATTTGTAGTGGATGATTGTTGGATAGCAGTGCATGTGACGGGGAGAAAAAAGAGGAGATGATGAGAGTTTGCATATATATATTTTTTAATTTCGCTTTTTTTTTTGGAAAAATTCGTTGGGGCCTGCTGACTTTTTGACCGCTCAGATCCGAACGAATTTTTGAATAATGACTAATGATGATGGTTCTTGTCGAATTTTTGTATAAACCGACAAAAGACTTGAAATCCGGCGGGTTAACAAGGATGTGATGTTGTGTGATGAGTTGGCTCCACCGAGGAAAAGAGGGCATAAAGATGATATCATGAAAAGAAAGAAGGGCTTAATTGCCCTCAAATATTTTTCGTAATTTGCGCTTATATATATTTACTTATTTTTTACGGTACTAATATACTCTAAAGTTTTTAAAACTTACAATTATATGCCCTCATTTTTACAGCATTTTTATATTAATTTTTTTTTTTAAAAAAACTTGTGCTTCAATATCTTAAACTTTTAAAAATTCGCATTTAAATACTATATTTAAGAGCAAGTTTTAAAACTTTGGACAGATGAGTGCCACCAAAAACAATTAAAGGCATATAAATGTAAAGTAGGAAAAACCATACAGTATTTAAGTATATTAAGCCATAAATAAAAGAGAGCTTCCCCTAGCTTTGGTTTGGGAAAATACAGAACATGGTTGGCTTTCATGTATCTATTGTAGACAACAGTATTTTTGTTATTTGTTACTAAAAAAATGCATCATGCTTGTTTATTGAATATCTAACCGAAAACCAATTTTTTTTTTTAAAGTTATGATATCAAACCAATTTTCCATATACATGGATTAACTCTATTCAAACAATTTTACATTTCTGACCGCCTTTTTTGTGTCGCGAACTTGTAACGCGCATATAACTCATCATGTATGTTGAAGTCTGAACGTAGCCGATACAATAATGCCTAGATGATATTGTCATGTATTAAACGCAAGGCATATTAAAAGTAGTGATGCTAAAAATAATAAAGTCAGGATAAAGAACAAATTAATTTTGATGCCACAATTGGGCATACCACCTTCAGCGTTCAAAAGCACGCATCGTCTTCAGCATTCAAACGGACGCATCTAGAATTTGAAAACCATAGGAAAAGCTGCTCTTTTTTCTTCCCCTTCTATCTCCATCTTTTCAAGGTATTAATGGGCACCACCACACATTAGTAGGTGCAATAGTGAAGGGCTCACTTCCTTGTCCTGCTCAATTTAGTTTTCTTTGACTTGAATCCCTCTCTTTCTCTATCGCTCATGATCTCCCATAACATTCAAAATATCAGAAAACCCCCCTTAAGTTGAGGGTTATTATAATCCAACCAGCCCCCACCCACCCCCCGCCCCGCGGGGGTGTTTTTCGCTAATAAAAACATTAGAGAGTTCTCCGATAACCCCTAGCCGCTTTTTTTTTTGGGTTGGGTTGGGGGAGGGGGGTTGGGTTGGGGGAGGGGGGTATCTTGACAAAGTTAAGGGGGTTTTTGGGTTGGGTTGGGGGAGGGGGGTTGGGTTGGGGGAGGGGGGTATCTTGACAAAGTTAAGGGGGTTTTCTGATATTTAAACCAAAAAAGAACAAAGGCTACTCCAAAGTCTTTAAGATGCTGATCTCCATAAACAGACAAGAAATAAGCCATCATCGGATGAAGATTACAAAGTACCAGCTTTGTTCACACAACAATTCCAGAACAAAAACAATTACTTGGCTTGATACATGAAATCAGGTTACGATACTACAAGCATAAAAACAGAGATGAGAGGACGGAAACACCACCAAAAGTAAAATTATTAATATTACAGTCATCTTATTTTGCAACAAATATGAATCACACCCTTATTTCTTCATTTCATTATATCAAGTTTGAGATCCATAGGTTCTGGTTTTGTTGTGCGGAAATTTTCCCAAGAAATCTAGATGTCAACAAATTAAAACTGCAGGGATATAGCCTCTTTCTTACTGCTAGGTAGTATGGGAAGTAAATCTAAACGCATTCTCTTATAACATCGTTAGAGATCCCAACTTTTTACGCTATAATTGGTCAAGGAGATATGAACTTTCATATTTAAAGAGCATCGGGTAATTGTTTTGCCGCTACAAGCACAACGATCATTTTAGAAGCACCATGATCCATAGCATTAATAGTGCACCAAATGGATAACAATCTTCAGATCAAAGCACAAATTCCTAAGTACATTAAGCCAATGGTTGGCATCTCTTTGGTTCACTGTTGCCTGTATGGACCACGTGCAAAGGAGACTATCTTTATAACTAATGAGTCTGTCCATCGTTAGTAAATAATACAGAGGTTCTTTTAGAAAAGAATAATAAAGCTGAACTAAAGCAAATTATTTTGTAGGAACCATTTGAATGTGAGGATATACAATGGGCAGATGAATGTTGTGTAATCACATAACAAATCATATCAAAGAGAAACGTTGAGACATGTCAGGGAAATGTTAGAGTTGTTGGCCAGAAAAACACGAAGAATCTTGTTACGGGGTGTATCCATGATTGAGCCAGTGAAACTAGATGAAATGCCAAAGGTCTGCGCATATCTAGTAAATTCATGACGATGTCTTTTGCTATTCATTATTTTTCATATCTACAGCTTTTAACAAGTAAAAAAATGCTAAGCATAACAATAAAACAGTAATTCTTCAGAGCTACATTACAACATACCTGACCTCTTCAGATTGCAAATCAATTGATGTGGCTGATTATTGCCCTGATACTGGATGCAACTTCTAGTAAAATAAACAAGAAACACGCAACAATGAAATCAAATCTAGAAATACTCATGATCAGGACTACTTCGAAACTTCCAAGTTCAAGAAATGAGATGCTTACATAAGAATCCGATATAGGCATTTTGTACAGTATATAACCCAACAAACAGAGGAATAAATGAACCCCAAATGGTTGCTCCACCTAACGCCCAGAACTGGAATTAGAAAAAAAATTAACTAAAGTTTGGTCATCAGACTAAAGCACTTTACATGGTTTGCCAACATGTTGATATGGCCAGATGTGACAAAAAGACAAGTTTAAATATATCTGAAAATCAAGCAAAATTCAAAGACACTGAAATAATGTTTGTCAATTTTTTGGTGGAAAAGGTAATGTAAGAGCTTGAACTAACACGCCACTGCAAAAGAAATTAGCAAGTCACTGAATTGGTATTGTAATTTGATATCATGATATAAACCTAATTGATGAAATTAGAATGAATAACGCCATTGAGTGATATGGTAACCGATCAACTTGCATCCACATTTGTGTACAAATACCATCAACCTCGCAAAAGCTCACACAACATTGGCCAGTTTTTGCAATATCCACAAAAGAACCAGACCACCATGAAAGATGTTTGAAGAACTAAGGCAACACAAGAGAACAAACATGCAGACACATATCCCACTTCTCTTAACAACCCACTCAATCAAGGAACACACACAGGCAATCGCAGATATGAAAGGCGAAGAAAGCTGCAAATAAAATATAAAAGCATAGTAACCATACGAAGACAACCTTCGAAATGATTATAATATGATTTAAATATCTACCTCCCATGATGTCATGTTGCTACTGTTTCGCATTACACATCATGAAGACCATTAATTATTTGGTGGAGAAGGTTCGCAAGCCAGTGCTTTCACGCTATATAGGAGTTCTAGGATGCACACCTTTTCTGAGATGCCCCCACTCTATAACATTTATTTGTAGGCTGATAAGAATGACAACGCTGCAAAAATGAAAGAGATGTTTCACGTCATTGACAGGAAAACAAAGAGTGGCATCTGATATATAGTTTTAAAAAAAAAAGATTAGCAACAAATTTGATAACTAAATCCTTAAGGATCAGGGTGGGACAACAAAATATTTCCACTCTCAAATAGACGTGTCCCACTTCACAGCTTAAATAATCATAGTAAGCAAAAATGGACAGGGCCTACATAAGTTTTCGCAATTTCATATATCAGTTACAAGGTCAGCATAATAACTCGAAATTTGACAACAATTCTCCAACTTAACAAGTAATTCCAACCAAAAAAGTGTCAGAAACATCAAAATTTCAAGGACAAAGGCCTGAATCCTACTGCCAGTCAAACAATTATGCAGAAAGAATTAGGAGCTGATAAAAAGAAGTGTGATTTGACAAGATAATAAATGCATAATGTTTATGGTGAAAGAGGAAAATGTACCTGTCTAGTCCATGGGAAGATACTGGAATGCAACAAATAATAAATAAGTTCCTCTCCATGTCACTACCGGAATGACAATCAAATGGGTCATTGTGAAACAGGATTTCTGAAGTAATGAGCAACATGATGTGAATGACTTGATAAAGTCTTTCAGAAAAATCACGTTCAAGATCATTCAATATGAAATTTACATAGCAAATATAATGATTCTTGATTGAACAATGATCAAA